CCCCAAAACATTACAAACATAAATCTACTGCTGTTTGCAGTCATGTTACCGGTTGGCATAGTGCTCGATCCGCGTGTGCGTGTCGTCATGTGAGAGCTGAGGGGAAGATCCAGGCCTGCCAGGAGAAGCAGAAACAAGGAGAGAGCTCATGAATCCAACCCATTAATCACAACTCTCTCTCACAGACACACACAAGCACACACACACGCAAGCAAGCACGCACGCACGCACGCACGCACACACACACACACTTACACACGCACGCACACACACACTTACACACGCAAGCAAGCACGCACTTACACACACACACACACACACACACGCACGCACGCACTTACACACACACACACACACACGCACGCACTTACACACACACTTACACACGCGCTGCATGAATTCATAGCGGAGCAGTGAAGACAGCACCAGGAGCAGGTTTGTGTGAAACGTTCTGTAACTACGTGTCTTACAGCTGCACTTGGACTTCATGTGCTGAGAGAACACAAGCAGTTCATGGAGAATGAAGGACCTGATACAAATGACACCAAGCTCACCCAGCTCCAATAAAATACCTCTGGGACATTATGTTTAGGTCCAAGTTGCACCTCAGATGTCGTGGAGGCTGGTAACGTCCTGGTCCAGAGCTAATGGACGGAAACTGAGCCTCACTCACCCGTTTATACAAGCACTACCTCCTGAGCTACACCCCCCAGAACCCCATCACTTGTCCTAATGTCTGATTCGGAGCCCAGCCTGTTTTCAGGCAGGCGCGTATTCAATATTACTCAGCACCATTTTGAGTTGCTGCAACTAAATTTGGCCTGCCGCACCTCACTTTGATTTTCTGGGTGTTTTTGAATTCAGCCCTCTGTAATCATTTTCATTTCCCTCCTTTATTCCTGACATTACTCCGTCCTCATCATTACAGATATCTGGCTCCTTTTTTCCCATCTGACGTGACAGCTGATGTGTTTTGTGTACGCTCGCTTTTATTGAGCAGTGTATAAGAAGCAGCAGACAAATTGAGCAGCATCCATCAAAATGGTTATTGGCATGATGTCACGCAAACTTATGGCTGCTGGTGGTCGTTGGGCGTAGTGTCTGCTCAGCTTTAGGAGGAGAGGTGGAACAAAATGGGTGAGAAATCAGTAGTGGCTGGGACTGTGTGCTTCATATTCACAGGTTATATTAATATAACATATTCCTCTCCATACAGCAACAGCTGGAGGCACTGAAAATGAAAACACTTGGTTTGCTGCCCAAGCTCAATCTATGTCTGGGTATATTTAAGGTATCTTTACCTCGTCGTACCCCTGATATTTGACATGTGACTTGATAAAGGCTGAAATACTCTGCAGAAATCAGCCCATTTTATCCAAACCATCTTCTTCTTTCAGCTGCTTCCTTTAGAGGTCGCCACAGCGACTCATCTGGCTCCAGCTCACTCTATCCACAGCACTCTCTCCTATCAACCAACCCAGGAAGAACATTCAAACTCCCAACAGAGCCAGCGAACTGAAACCCAACAGCCTCTCACTGTGAAGAACGCAGCAGAGGTCGCAGCATTTTCTGAACTGACTTATCACATACACTTAAACTAGCATTTCTGTGTTATACTAAAGCTATTTTTTCTTCAAGATGAGCCTTGCATATATTTTTCACTGGAGTATGATCACACAGATCAATGAGAGTCTGTCTGTGCTGATTAGCAGCGGGATGCTGACAGCTGCAGGGACACTGTCTCCATAGTGGTACCAGCCTGACGTGGAGTTCATTTATAACAAATCAAGAGAACAAGACGACAACACGACGACTGAAATGACTGGAGGTGAGAGCGTGTGCGTGTGTGTGTGT